AGAGACGTTGCAGTGAAACCACTTCTGAGCATCTGCCAGCTGAAACCCTCAGAGATGCTTCACCCCGGGCCAATCACCGCAGGAGGGCTCTGTGGAGGAGCCCATGGGAGATGGCGACAGGGCTGATCCCGGGTCTGCTTCTGTTCACCCAGCGAGCAGCCCCCTCTGGGAGGCTGCAGGGAGCTCTGCAGGCGCTTCGAGGTTGCAACAGCCACATCTGTCAAGCGCAGGGGACCGTGGCTCTGGCAGCCATGAGGTCATCCTCAGGAATATCAAGCAACCCTTTGCAAAGGGGCCTTTCCTCCCCTTTAATGTGCTGAGGGATCTACCGTGGGACCTGGGAGCACTCAGAGCATTCACACTAAAAGCCTGTCTCTCATCTGACCTGCACAGTGTTAAATGTCATCAGCTGCACCTTTCTGCTCGCTGAACAGTGCCTCCTTAGCTCTGTCTCCTGTTGCTTTGAAGGCTCTTAGATTCCCACTGCCGCCTTCCTGGGAAGAAGAGGACAGGTTGGGGTTTCTTAAAGCAAAGGGTCTACAGGCATGTTTTAGTGGTGTAGATCAGCTTGTGGTTGCGCTGCAGAGAAAGGAGAGTTGAAGGAAAGCTGATGATGAAATCCATCTTGTCACTCCTCTGACTGTCGGGAGAAACTTGAATGCTGTGCAGAGATGCTTGGACATTGCTGAACATCTCCCCAAACAGGTTTGGCTCCTCAGGTCTCCCCAGCAGGTTCCCAGCTGCAAGGGATATTCATTTGCTGAAGCATCCCTGAGTTATTTCTGCACCGTGAAGACCAGGATGGGCGGTTGTTGGGCTGAACATCACACTGCAGCCCCCGAGATAGTGGATACCCTTCCCATGCTGCATTGGGGTGCATATTCAGGTCTGTATGCGACAAACCACTAAGGTAGCCCTGTGATCTGCAGCAGGACCAGTGAACATTTGGAGGAGTAGTTGTCTCTGCTCCTACAGATGGCAACACAAATCCAGCAGCTGCCGAGAGGAACATGCCACATATAAAATTCCCAGGTGCAACCTTGGAAAGGAGCTCCAATGCTGGTGGCCAAGCAGGGTGTGCAGAAACAGCTCGTGCCTATCTTGGAAAAGTTGGACATCTTGGTATGCATTGCCGACTTGTGGAACCATAGTTTAATGCACAAATGGGCGAGAGCAAAGATGAAGACCACTGAGGAAATTTGAGCCATTGAGGAATCATTGAGGAAATTCAAGCCTCCAGCTGGCTCTAATTTTTTCCCAAGAGGCTGAAAGACACGTTTTTAAGTAGAATTTTCCTCTTCTGCTGGCACCACAGCCACATGGTGCTCTCCTGTCAACAGCATGCACACTAGTGCATTGCACTGGAAGAGCTGAAGGGGCTAACGGAGGCAGCAGGCACTGGCTGCAGCGAGGGTGTCCCAGCAGGGTGGAAGAAGGGTGGGATGGGGTGAGATGAGGGGCTGCTTGGGGTTGGGCTGTCCCCGGGGAAGGCGGCGGGCTTGTTTTCTTCTGGTAACGCATTCCATATAACCACCATCAGGTTCTCTGACTGGCAAGGGAATAGTTGTGGAGCACAGCCTGAAACATGACTTATTCCCATCCTTCGACCCTTGCAAAACATGGACCCGTTATTAGACCATGAAAATCGTTATTACCGAAACGAGCCCCATATAGTGCCTCACCCTTCCTGAAGCCCTCTGAGATGCCGGGGATTGTGTGCAGATAATTGACATTTTCCCTGCAAGGAGCAGGGCAGGGCAGGTTGCTGGACATGTCCCGGGAGAACTGTGCTCATGGGCTCACCCCTGGGCTCTTCTTCTCCTGTTTTCATGAGCATTAAGGTCACTCATGCCCCAGGGCAGAGGGAGGAAGGCTTCTGGCCGGCGCCGTGCAGTTGTGCTCGCGTCCCGCTGGTGGCTGCCACAGCTGCCGCTTCTCAGACGTTGCCTCCGTGCTTATTTTCTAGCTAATAGGCTGCATAATCGGACGCCAAGGGACCAAAATCAATGAAATTCGGCAGATGTCGGGAGCGCAGATCAAAATCGCCAACGCCACGGAAGGGTCATCGGAGCGCCAAATTACCATCACAGGAACCCCTGCAAACATCAGCCTCGCTCAGTACCTCATCAACGCCAGGTGAGACCCCCCCCGCCGACCTCCGCCGCCTCCCACCCCGACCGAACCCGTCTTGCCGGCGCAGCGGGAGCAGCACTCGCTCCCCG